ATTATCACCCGCGATTTTTAAATTGACGAATGATCGAAATTCCTCTTGTCTTGTAGAATTGGTATTTCTTTAATTTTCCCCTCTTCGTTTTTTAATTCTTTGAACTCAGTAATTAGTTAATCAACGTACACAATTATTTCGGAACAATTTATACCAAATTTATTAATACAGAAGTATAATTAATTACGAATGATATATTAATTAAAATATTTATTTACATTAGTATTAATGTGTATATTTTTGAATTCACCAAATATAATTTATTAGCATAATAAAAACCTCAGAACGTAGAAATACAAATTTGTTTTCGTTTAGTTATCTAAATATGTTCAATAATTCCATGAACAATCGATGATTTTACTTAATGGCTCGCGTGCAACTAAAACACCACAACTAAAAATCAGAATTTAGAAAAACTATCCAAATCGTTTAATTAAGTCCCTACAACACAGACATGGCGAAAGTATTTCCATTTGTTCATAAAGCATAAACAAATATACACTACATCACAGATTACGTACATACATCATCTACATACAACGAATGAATGAATAAAACAAAATTGGTGTAGTAAACGTTGGTTTGACACTGGCTGACTAATAGAAGAACATAAAATATGACACGAATAAATAAAATATTTTACATAATATTTTTTTCTTAGCATATTACAAATGTAGGAATATATACACGACAGATGCGTTTATCCGTTCTAAAAAGTGCGCCAACAAAACTGAGTCGGAAGTGACTCGTTTTCTTTTTACTTTTGAGAATATATCTTGCATTCTCTCTCACACCTACCTTTTCGTGTGAAGTAATGTTTTCACGGCTTTGTCAGCTTCTAATATTTCGGAATATATTCAATCTCGTCTATTAGCAAACATTTCTTTATCCTCTAAGTCACTATGATGATCATGAGAACAGAATGCAAGGCCCAGTAAAAGAAGTGTTTTTCAGAAGCAATACCACTTTTAAAAGTATGCCCCGAGTGGTAACGATATGCATGCATTTTTCAAATTTTAAATTATTCTTAAAAGAAAACAAAAAATATTGAACGTAACACGTAGAAAAGTGTAAAAAACGTATTTGAAGATTCAAATCGACAATATCTACGTTTCAGATAATCGCAATGTGGCAAGAAAGGTCGATAGAAACAAGGACACCCTAAAAATTTTTTTCAGCCAATTCTCCTTCAGAAACTATTGAAACTTCTTAAGATTGTAAAAAAGGTAAAGTTAAAATAATATAGAAAAAATTAAAATAGTAAGCAATAATAATTGAACGAGTTCCATCATCAACAAATTTATTGTTATGAGTTAAATATTACTCACTTATCACTTGCTCTTTAACCTTGTGTACATTCGAATAAATGTGTAAATGTGTGCACAAACTATGAAAGTGAAGTCGTAGGCTTCCGCGGCCAGAGTGGTGCCTCACAGCCTTTGGCGTGGTGTCTCCTGAATAGCCAAAATGATTCGCAAATACTATGAAGTTTTCATTAATTGGATCGTTGGTGAAGTAGATACCTTTTTTATTTTGATAAATAAATAGAGATTGATACCTGACAATATCTCTATTTATTTATCGAAGTTTTCATTGCTTAGTGCCATCTCTATCAAATACAAATAATTAACTTTAAGCTAATTTATTTAAGGATTATTTTAAGTTTAGGATTAATTAATGATATTTATAATTTATTTTCCTACACAAATAAGTTGTCTGAAACTTATCTGTTTGCTATTCAGAGAGCAATGTGTAATACACTGAAGAGCCAAAAAACTGGTACACCTGCTTAATTTCATGTAGGGTCCCCGCGAGCACGCAGAAGTGCAGCAACACGACGCGGCATGGACTAGACGTAAGTCTGAAGTAGTGCTGTAGGTAATTGACACCATGAATCCTTCAGGGCTGTCGGTAAACTCGTAACAGTACGAGGGGGTGGAGATATCTTCTGAACAGAACGTTGAAAGTCATCCCAGGTATGCTCAATGATGTTCATGACTGGTGATTTTGGTGGCCAATGAAAGTGTTTAAGTTCAGAGGAGTGTTTCTGGAGACACTCTAGCAGTTCTGGTCGTGTGGGCTGTCATATTGTCCTGCTGAAATTGCGCACGTCCTTTGGAATGGACATTAATGGGTGCAGGTGATCAGACAGGATGTCGTGTCACCTGTCAGAGTCGTATCTAGTCATATCAGCGGTCCCATATCACTCCAACTACACATGCTCCGTAACATTACACAGCCTCTATCAGATTGAACAGTCCCCTCTACCAGCTCGAAACAATGTGAAACTAGATTCGTCAGACCAGGCAACGCATTTTCAGACATTAACTGTCCAATGTCGGCGTTGACGAGCCCAGGGGAGACGTAAAGCTTTGTGTCGTGCTGTCATCAAGGGTACACGAGTGGGCCTTCTGCTTCGAAACGATATCAAGAATGTCTTGTTGAATAGTTAGAACGCTGACACTTATTGATGGCCCATAATTGAAATCTGCAGCAATTTTCGGAAGGGTTGCACTTCTGTCACGTGTAATGATTCTCCTTAGACGTCGTCCGTCCAGTTCGCGCACGATATTTTGGCGGCCACAGCGATTTCAGAGGTTTGATGTTTCACCGGATTCGCGATATTCACGGTACAACCGTGAATGGTCGTACAAGAAAATTTCATTGCGACCTCGGAGATGGTTATGCTCCATTTCTATTGCGCCGACCATAACACCACGTTGAAACTCACTTGAATGTGATAACAGGCCATTGTAGTAGTAAGCGATCCAACAACTGTGCCATACTTTGGTTGTCTTATTTAGTCGTTGCCGACCGGAAAGCCGTATTCTGATTGGTTCCAGATCTGTTTATATCAATACGCATTGCTGTACCTGTTTTGACTCTTTCGTAGTTATATTTGGTGGAAAGTTTCAAGAGTTTAACCTGTAATTTATGTCTGTTTCTGAGCTCATATTGTAGGCAGTTTGGGTACTTAACAAATCACAATCTGGAAAAGACTAAAGTGTATATACCAAGGGGTCTGAAAATTGAATAATCAAGATTCCAACGCTAAGAGAAATATAGAATTCCAAAAAATTATTTCCACCAATTTCATTAATTAAAAAATAACTTCAGAAAAAGAATCAACGAATGTTTAATTTATCAGTGGAAACAAACATTTATTAGAATGCCGCTGATCTGAAATATTGAAACTCTTTTGTTTTTATGGTTCGTCCACCACGTTTTCACTTCGTCAAAAGTTAATACAGTGTATACAAATATAGCATAAATGTACAATTCATATATATAATGTTATAATATGGTATACATAATATGTTTTGTTTTATATTGACTCTAAAATGAACAATAAAGTAATTAAATTTATCGGTGTTCATGAATTAAAATCAAAATATTTATTTAGAATGTAGTAGGCTTCGATATTGTCTTCTACAATCGGAGTTAGGAGACAATACCATCCTTCGAAATCATGCTAGACACTTTTAGGCAAAAACATTTCTGAACAGAGATTTGGGAAGTTATTTTTCAGTTCGTCATATCGTTACTTTTTAACACAGTGCAAAAGGTCGATAGGGGATTTTATGCCATTTGGTGGGAATGTCGTCAGTAGGGCTTGTTCGATAAGGACTACAGTTCCGGCTTTTCAGTGTTATGAGGGGCGAAGTATACTTGTCCGTCAAACAAATGTGTACAACGGGTTGCATCATGAATGCAGTCAGGATTCGGGAAAAGCTGTTCGAGAACCCAATTTTTCATTCACATTGTTTTCTCAATATCAAACCTTTACCATATTCTCTGCGTATTTCCTAACTTATAAGCCTCAAGGATATGTAAAAATTACCTGCGTTGCTTTTAATTGAGAAGCAATTGTCTATGAATTGTACTTATCCATTGGGCATTTTGGTAAAATGACACATACATACAGAGGATTGTAGGCAATTGCGTTTATATGGATCGTATACGCGTTCCTTCACAATTACATCACTCAATCTTCATAAAAAACATTTTTAAAAATTGCTTCCTTCGCTTCGCTAGCTATAACAAGTTTGCTCGCGCGATTGCAAGTCGCACAACAAAACGACCAAAAACAACTTCAGGTAGTTGGCTTTGGAAGTGAGGTAATGAAATGTCAGTCAACGAGCGTTCATTACATTAGTAATAAGATGTTAAAATTTAGTATTTATACTACAAAACTGGTAATTAGATTATCTATGTAATTAGTGAATAGTTCTAATATCTTGAGAAATATTAATTAAACAAATCAATTTTGGGGCAAAATTGTGAAGTTCATGTTTCAAAATAATCAATTCAAAACTTCTAAAAATTTTTTAAATGAAGCTGATATCTTTTGTGAGTGGCTTCAAGACGGTCCAAAATAAAATTGCTATATTATCTCGGTAATTAGTTTTACAAAACAGTTCCGTTGGAACTAATGTTAAAATTCCGTGTCCTAATTATAATAAGTTGTAATAGCTTATATATTTTGCAGCACAATGAATATGCAATTCATCATCAATTCAGTTTCATAAGGCATGATTCATTCAGTATATTTACTAATGTTAAATGAAGAAATTATCCACAATATTATTTTGCGTTGACTGAAACTAACATTCTTAATTTGTAAGTATTTATAAGTAAGCAGTATTGGGCATTATAATTGAGGCAAGCACTGAAGAAAAGAAAAGATTAAATTGAACACGATTCTTGCTGAAACTAAATTGAAACTTAGAGAAAGAATTTATTAGTTTTTTCGAAGATTTAATGCATAAACATTATTAAAACATTAATAATATACCGAATTTAATTTCTTTTCAATACCTGCGATGCTTTTACAAAAGATTTCATTCCTTATTTTGGTAAATCATAAAAGAGTAGAGAGAAGGCATTTGTACTCGTGTGAAATATAACATGGCGTCGCAAATCTCCCGAAATCCCATTGCAGATAGTTGTTGAAATACACGTTGGATAGTGGCTGGAAAAATGGCGTATTGAAAACTCACCTGAGGCAATTGTTGTGGAAAGTGTTGTACGAAGCGTATGAGAGGTGAACGCCGAACCCGGCGCCCACGGAGTAGAAGATCTGCACGGCTGCATCTAACCAGACCTACGCAGCCAACAGAACACACAACACACGTGAGAATTGACTAGACAAAATGAATGAGAAACATTGTGTAGTCGTGCAAGTAGAGCGTGTGCCATCCATTGGGTTTCGTACTCTGAAAAGAACGTCTGCTGAAAGGGAATGAGCGATAAATGGATGAGTAAATAAGTGAATGTGTGAATGAATATGTATGTGAGTGAATTAATACTCGAATGCATGCATGAATGAGTGACCGAATGCGTGCATGCTTGAATGAGTGAACCAGTGAATAAATGAATAAACGTTGCTCTGCTAAGGTTGCTTTGGCGGCTAGTTGCCCGCAGGAAACACGAAAACCAGAGAAGGTCGACGTTGAAGGGCCAACTAGCAAAAGAAACAAGCAGAATTCTCTCTTTTACCCACCTTGAACAATAGAACGTGCCTTAGTACGATGTGGGTATGATGGGGTGATCTACTCAGTCTTATATGCTCAAATTTAAGGTGTTTCTATTCGCACATGCATTTAGTGGATGTGCGTGATTTGAAGTTGCCTCATGAAGTGCGTTCAGTAAGAACGTTTCCATACGTAAAGAAAGAAAACACTATTTATTGACAATATATTCTCGCACCTAAAGATATGTTGCACCATTTCCCCACACAATCACTACCAGAATTGACACGTTTGTCATTACATGGGTATTAAAATTTGTTTGAGCACAATGCTGACCGCACAGGATTTTTTAGAGGTGGAAGAAAGTATGGAAACCGCTGGGGATAAGATCCGAACTCACACGGTTCGACTCACAACCGATCTTCTGCCGTTGTTTGGCTGTGTTGTTTAATCATCCATTCAGATGTTTTCCAATTGTATTATGAGTACGTGAATTGCAAGTTCTCTATGGTGAATATCAACAGAAGGTCCTAGGGTTTGAGTTCCAATATCTGAAGAAGAATTCACGTGTCCGGATCGGTACTTTTCCGTGGTACTTCAATATATAAATTCTTGGCCTTAAATATACATAAAATAACGCATCTTATATACTTTGTTACTGTTGCGATATTTTAATATGTTTGAAAGAAATAAAACTTATTCTAGGCTTCAACTTGCGGACTACTCCATGAGTCGTTCTTCTGCCTTCTCTCAGTTGCCGCACAGTCCGGCAAGTGCCCATAATTACTTTGTCAAGGAATCCCAGCGCGATACAGACTTAAAAGCTTTAAATTCACCTGAACGTTTTCGTGTTTCTAACATTGCCCTCTGAAGGTAGTGCGAGAACTGAGGGTTTGCTCTTCCACGAAATCCTGCGCTGTGAGGAGTGCGCGTTTCCAAGGACAATTCGCCCTCACTCCACTCCCTTCGTACCGGCTGAGTTGGCTCGCAGGCAGTGTTACCGTTGTATTTTTAGTGAATATGAACGGAAGGTCCTACAGTTTGAGGGCCGATATCTGAAGGAGAATTATTGGGGCTGGCTGCTCTGATCGGTACTTTTATGTGGTTTCTTCGATCAACACCAGACGAATACCGGAGCTGTACCTTGAAACCAGGCCCAGAACCGCGCGCGACCTTTGCTCCTCCCCATCCTTGTCCCTTCCTTCCTCACACACACCCATGCTTACACTTATATTCACTACACTACCACATAAGTCGGGGGACCAATCGTGATCTTAGAGCTAGACTCGTCTGGGCTGGTGCTCACATTTCGAAGAGGAATAAATACCACCACCTTCTATAATATGCCATGTACTACATTAACGACATTAATGAATATTACTTTTGACGCGCCAGGAAACTCGAATGAATCCATCCATTTTCATCGTATTATTCCCTCCCACTTTTCCCTCTGCACACTTTCACCCTTATCCCTTAGCATATTTTGTCTCCTCCTTTCAATAATGGCACCGTGCTCGTTAAGAAAATACTCTTCCTCCCACGTGACATCTCTCTCGTAGCTCTCTCACTCGTTTATGGGAATTTGCTTTGAGAGGAAATGTGCAGGTAAGATTTGTTCACGCGTTTCAGCTGATAAAGACATGCTATAGATGCAAAGATGCTATAGATACAAAGCATACAAGTAATATTAGTGTAATGTAAAAAGATATTGAAATTATTGAATATTATATTTCCTTAACTTCACTATTTTTTGTTTTAATGCGATGAACAACACATTATTACAGTAAAATGTTTAACCGTACATTAGAACATAGTAGGCAGAGTAACACCATAATAATCCAATAATTTTGATTACATTTCATAGTCCACTGGATACTGGTACTGACCTCACTCGTGCTGAAAGCACTAAATAGAGTGGTGTTAAGTGCTGTCTCCGCATTTTGATATATTGCTGTATTGTCATATGGCGCGTGAAATATGTTTAGTGCCTACCGTCACATAATGTTCAGTTCACACACAGATTCTGGGCACATTTGCTAATGAGATGTCGAATCACATAGAGCATCTGCAAATCTCTTGGCAGTTGTTGCGTTTTTAATCATGTTATAATATGTAATTTCCTATTAAGTGCGCCTTGTTTATTTTCATGACTGAGATTGAAGTGTATTGCAGGTGAGACCGTCGCTCACGAAATATGAACAGCATTTTTTTCGACAACTATAAAAATTATATTTGTAAAAAGGTTGTAATTTTAAATTGACATAAGGTGTTTTATATATTGAAAAATAGCTGCCGAAGGACGCTGAAGCATTACTAAGGGATACGTCTGTTTACCAGTTGTATTTCCATGCCTAAAATACTTTTTTCACGGCAACAAGGCAGTAGTCTTGGCAAACGTCTTTTTTAATGGAAATTAAAAATTACCTACTTTACGTACTGATAGTATCCACCTTTTTTTAGTTGTAGAAGAAATAATTACACTTTGAATATGGCAATATCAATTGAAACTGTAAATATTTGTAACATTCCTTGAAAACGTAACGTGTTTTATAATTTGTATAGGCAAAGGAGGAGGCCGCTCGCCTTTAAACATTTACTATTCATGTATTTGTAAAGAAGTTTGCGAGCATATTTAATTTATTTCAATGGTATAAGATAATATTTTGTTTATTATTCATGAACACTTTTCATGTTATTTTTCGGAAACTATTTTGTGTGCTTTTGTTCAGCAGCATTTTCTCCTTAGTGCCATCCTAATCCAGATCAACCCATTGCACCTTTTCCCACTCCTCTTGATGTCTTTGCATTTTGCTTCTTTCTATTTCGTTGCCTTACACCTTAGCAAAATAACTCACTCCGCCCCATCGGCCGACCGTTCTTCTAGAGCTTTCTTCTTCTCCGTTCGGACCCCCCACTCATCATCCGCACCTGCCCCGCCGCCCCTCCCCGGCCCCGCGCCTCGCGCCTCCCGCCCCGCGCCCCCCAGCCCCGCCCACCCCATTCTTAGTACCGTCCTGTCCAGTCCTACTCCGCCCCCAACCAGGCATGTCTTCCATCAACGTCCCGGCCCGCTCGACCCGTCCAGTTCACTCCCGCCGCCCGCCCTTACCCATGCTATCTCGCCCCGCCCCTCCCACCGCAGTCCTATCTAGCGTATCGCCCGCGGCCCCCGTCCATCCGTGCGTCCACCCCGCTGCGTCCCCAGCCCCCGCTGCGTCCCATGCTCCCGCCCGCTGGCGCCCCTGCTCCGCTGCGTCCCTGCCCCGCTGCGTCCCTGCCCGCCGCTCGTCTCGCGTCGTCCCTGCCCCCGCTGCGTCCTGCCCCCGCTGCGTCCTACCCCCGCTGCGTCCCCCTGCCCCGCTGGTCCCTGCCCCCGCTGCGGTCCCTGCCCCCGCTCCGTCCCTGCCCCCGCTCCGTCCCTGCCCCCGCTCCGTCCCTGCTCCCGCTCCGTCCCTGCTCCCGCTCCGTCCCTGCTCCCGCTCCGTCCCTGCTCCTCCCCGCTCCGTCCCTGCTCCTCCCCGCTCCGTCCCTGCTCCTACCATTGCTCCCTCACCCTGTGCGTGGGCCTCAGTGAGATGTGGCCAATATCCGGCGCTGTCAGAGCCACGTCAAGTGCAGGCAGAGACCCCAAGCTAGTAACACTCGTTACCCGCCATTGAGACACGGATTTTTCATTCATCTAAGCTCATCTTCATCGTCAAACCAAACCCTGCAAGGCCACACATATTTTTGTTTCTTTAGTCTATCTCAAGCCACCAAACACCCGTTAACTACTTCGAATAGCAACTGAGAAACTGGGTTACCCCAACGCATATTTTGAATCGTTTTTCTAATTTACTATTGTGTAGTTTAATTTTTAAGTACCTGTAATATCTTAATGAAGAAACCCCAAATTTTTGCTATAGCGTTATGACGGCTTGATTTATACCTAGGGTTCTTCCTTAATAATCTTCGTTTGGTGTGTTTGTAACGTGTTTCAAAGTTATGTGAACATGAGAAGTTGGTGAGCGTGTTGTTGTGGACTTGACTTCGAAGTTATACTATACTGTTAACCAAAAATGATTCAACATCTCAAAATAATGGATAATATTAGTAACCAAAACATTATTACGACATTTCGGGACAAATATATTAAGTTTAAATAGAATTACTCTTGATATTGAAAATATGTAAAAATCTTGGGAGATATGTTAAACACATTTTTGGGTTCTGAGGGTATGGAAGATGAAATGATGAGTGAGGGGTTCATTTTAATGTATACAAAGACAAACTGTATAAAATTGTATTTACAAATCAACATTATCTCCATCAACATGATTGCAATTGTTCGCTGAGCTTGTGATAGTCCTAGAGGAACTGTTGAATGAAAAGTATTATTTTTCAATGATAAGAAACATTAAGGGGTGCTACAGAATCGCATAGAATTGCTCGTTATAGTTAGTAGTTTTCTATTCTCTTCAACGTCTAAAAGACCACTAAGGCCTCTCGCATTACTTACCGATATTCTGGGATGTAGGTAGAACCTTTCTTCACCCTGAATATCGAACAGACCTATCTCGATCCTGAATCTTTACATATTCACCCAAGGTATTCTTAGCCCTTCATCAGTTCTTTATTGCCGATCGAGTTCTTTACTTAAGCATCTAGTTGCCTGTTAGGCCACGAGATTATGGAAACATTATGTTATGGATGTAATTACATGAGGGAGTCTTAACTAGAAACATTTGCCTTACGTGCGTTTCGAACCTAACCCTTAGTATCCTCTTATTTTCACTCACCTGCCCAAAGCCCCTCTCTCACGAGACTGAATAACTTCACCATATTAATTTTGAGACAGTTTTGAGAAAACTTTCCAGGAGTTTCAGTTGTGAAGTATCCTCCAAGGATTCGTAACTAATTGGTACGGCCTCGACTCGGTCCAGTTCGATTGGGGACTCCTGGTCGGTCAGGCGGACAAAATTAATATGGTTCGAAAGGACAGACGGACGAACGGACGGTCGGTCAGACGGACGATTTTCTATAACCCAATTTTTCGGTGACGAGGACCTACAAGATGAGCTTTCAAGTTGTATCGTAATGCTGGCGCTTTTTCTTTCTCTATACTACGTATGTAATATGTTAAAAAATAAAACCTAGCGCTCTTACTGGCATTTCTAAACGACACGGCTCGATCGTAAGCTGGAGTTCTACTATCGTACTCATGGAAATGCTTTATAACCTTAACTACAATATGGTATAGGAAAAGCGTCTGGAAGCACATGCAAGGGCAGGGGAAGTACGGTAGGGGCAGGAGGGAGCCCGGAGGTCCCCCTCCTATCCCTATTAGTTCCAGGCCCCCCCCTGGTTCCCTATTAGTTCGTGGGCCCACGGTCGGATGATAGGGTGAAATGAGAACAGGGATAACCCAGGTCATGACAAACAACTGTTTATTGGGCGGTATTACTTACAGTCTTCGGCATCAGACGCAACCCAGCCTTGTCACGGACGGTCCTCCGGAAGAGCGACTTTGCAGTGGCCATCGGATGGGTGGGCGATACTCGCAGTGCACGGCGGTCGGGAGAGAGGGCGGGGAGCGGCTAGCAGGATCCTGGAGGGGCAGACTGAAGTAGCAAGGCGGAGGAGCGTCGACAGGGCCAGTTGGGGCCAATGTGAAGGGACGGACGGATGAAAGTCGGCAGGGCCAGTTTCGGCCGAACTGAACCTTGGACGCGGGTGAAACGTGTGTGAGAGAATTAAACCGAAAGCGATCAAGTTTCTTTTGGCAATGCGAGCAGCGCATCTCCCCTCTCGTATATCTTACTCAAAGAGCAGTGCATCCCGATGACCCACAGGTTAGCAGCAGGGTTAGGCCATGAAATCGCGCAGCGTCCGAATGAACGAGTGACTTTTTTATATACTTCTCATACAAGACATGCTCAGCGATTTGTTTGCATTATGCTTTGGGGAATATGCAAAAAATGCATGATGCTCGTACTTCTGCATAAAATGAAATATGCACATTCGTTATTGTGTTTAAGTAGGAAACAGTTCTATATCAAGAATTTTGTTTCCAAATCTCGAATTTCTATGTAATTCCTCTGAAATATCGAACTTTTTTATGGCAAACTTCATCTTTATCTCTTATGCCAAACTTCTACATTCTCCCCATCGGTTGCGAGATATTGTTGAAAAATTCTTATTGTTGGGTGCGGAGGTGGGGCATAGGATAGATTTCTTGTAATTTTCAGAGGCTTATTTTAAAATGAAAAACGTATATTTGCATCAGTTGAAGTTGGACCTAGTAAGTGTTCGTCGTGGCCTAAATAACCAGTGGACATCGCCTGGGATTAACCGCCGCAGCCAAACCGCCTGAATGCGGCAGTAAACTAACGTGCACCCTCACTAAGGAAGACGCGGCCGAGTGACAGATCCCTTCGGGGCGGTCGCATGAAACCCGGGAGCGACCCATCGCCCTCACCAAAGATCTCCGCCGTGGGTTGAGGTGCGGTGGTGGTGTGGTGGTGGTGGGAGCGGCAACGGCGACCGCCGGCGGAAGCGTACCGGTTCCCCCGCCCCCCATTCCTCCCCACCATCACTCTACCCCGCCTCTTCCCCCCCCGGGCCCGGGGCGCGCGTCGCCCGGAGACATTGTGGCCCCGTGACATAGGCGGAATTCCGCGCCGGCTTTTGTCGACTATATCGCGGATCTTCCTTCCGCGCCGCTGCGCCGGCAAAAGAGCGGCGCCCAAATATCGGGCTGAGCGCGAGGCACGGGCCCGCCCGCCGGCCCGCCCGCTCCGCCCGCCGCCCGCCCGCCGCCCGCCGCCCGCGCCCGCCCGCCCGCCCCGCGCCACGTGCTGCTGCTGCTGCTGCATAAGGCTCCTCGGGCAGCCCCTTCGCCCTACATGCCAGAGCGTCGCTGGCGCTCTCTCAGGCCCCGCCGGCCACTCTCCCGAAATCTCGTCGTAAATACGCGAGTACACACTAATCCTAAAAGGTAGTGTATCCTGTCTGATTGTGATGTTGCAGCACGGTAGAAAAGGATGCATTGCGATTCTTGTAAAATGTGACTCAATACGTGAAGTAAACAAGGGTGATTCTAAAAGTAAAGCAAGAGTTCTTTGTCAACCAGGAAGTTCTTTGTCAACGGGAAAGACAAATTCTTGAGGGAATGTCGAAATGCGCACGTCTTGTTCTTTTTATTAAGTCACTGAGAGTTCGTCGTATCTGTTGTACTTGGTGAGTTATTGGGCTTGAAAATTGCGATGACTGTTTCTAGTTCTCCGTGGTGGTGGAGTAAAGACGTAAATATATGCCAGAATTGCACTTTTGTCACGTCCAGAAACCAGCTATTTTGTGGACTGGTGTTGTTCTTGCGGAAATGTTTGTAAATGTGGAGAGGAAGGGGACAGGAATGGTCTGAGATATCAAAATTATCAGAGTCAACTGAAGGGTTAAAAAACATTAGTCCAAAAAGTGAGATTTTGAGGTACTAGAATTGTTGCTAAAGCTTCGTGAACACCATTTGCAGGCTGTGTTATTGTGAAAAAAATCATCCGTTGTCCGAAGTTATTAGCTCCGAATGTTTGAATGATTTTGATAATAGGGCTATAGTTCAGCGTTTTTTTAGGCAAAAGAGCTACAGTTCTTTAAATGTAAGTTTTCTTCGTGATTATTTCTCAACCTTTGCTAATCTCATTCTGCAACGGGTGATAATGTTTGTTTTTATAAATGTGCTTATTCTGCATAACCAGTATTTTTGTCTTGGATGTTTGGTGAAAGTGAATGACCTGTTCTTGTGGCGTATACGTCTATTGTGTTGTGAACCTGAGCAAACAAGGGAGAAAGTAACTGTTAAAAATGGATTCTACGTCAGAGAAAAGACGTAAACCAAAACGAAGAGAGAAAAGAGGAATTAAAAAGAGCAAAGAATGACATTTAATCACAAAAGAATCTTCAGAAGTTGTCTAAATATTTATAGTTACCTGGCAATAGAGATTTGTATCCACATTTATTATCAGTGGCTGATGCTAATTTGAAAGAAAAAACACTGATTATGATAACAGTAGTGGCGAAGAATAATAAGTTTGTCAATTCATATACGTGCATTAACTCTTTGTATTATTCCTTCAATTATTGCAACAATTCTTGCCAAATTAATAAACTTGATATAAAAAATTCTCAATTAAAAAAAATAAATTGAAAACCCCCATTTTATCCAACAATTTTCACAATTAGTTCGAACTTGAACTACACTCAAGCGTTCATCAGAATGTACAATAAGCTTGAGAAACTGCACAACGATTTTTATGCTTCAAATGTCTACCAAGTTCATCATGGAACGTTTTTTCGCTCTCCTGAAAATTTGTGTTTTGAAACAGTGGTTGAAGATTGGCTCAATTTGCCAGGACATTTCAAGCAGTGACGCTATTCGTCCTACCTCTGGCTTCGCTCTCCCATCAAAACCTAAATTTGAACCGAAATGTTGTCTATGAAGTGACACGTACCCATACGGTGCCATATAGTCATAATTGGTCATATGATAATAAAATTAAACTATTTTGTTACGGTTCAGATACAGTTTATGCGATATTTTAGCGTTTTCGCTACTCTGTATATTAATTACAAATTTAATAGAATGTTTTGTTTTTATAATTTTGACAGTAACTCAGTGTATTTATCAGAGGAATGAACTTTACTACCTTGATTCAGTGCGACAGGTGTACTAGGTAGTAGCAGTTCTTTGAACGCTGAAAAGCCAAATTGCAGTAATTCTAAAGCGCTTGAATGCTCTTGTTGTTTGTTTACTTGTTGCCTTTGACTTAAAAATGTAGATGCATAAAATCAATTTTGAAATCGGAGACAAAAAATGCGAGAAATTAATGTTATTAATTGGAAAGATCCCTTTATCCTTGTAAGTTGCAATTGTATTAAGAGTGATTCCCATACCTTTTAGATGCTATTGGGGGAGGGTTACGAAGTTATTGCAAAGTTTTTAAAGGGAGAGTGAGGAATAACACTAAAGTGTACGTACACTACAAAATAAATGGCTCATTTAAGGAAGTTATGGTAGAATAGGTAAGAAAAATGTCTCAAAACTACGTTCTATTGAAAACGAAGTAGTGCGAACAGTATGTTAATTATTTGCTTTACTTTGTAGAGATGAGGGCATGGTATGCACGTACCATTGAGGTTAAAAATCTTCTGATTACGAAATAGTAGGAACGGGAAACTAGTAAAAAACGACTATGTTCGTATTTGTTGGCTTCTTGAGAGAGTTCACGGAAATGGTCTGCGAGTAAATGGGTTGTAGTACCTTGCGTTTTGAGAATTACTGATGTATTAGATTCCAGGTTTTGCGAGAAACGTAACCAAATAAAAGTGTAAAGCTTAAATTTTATCATGTACACTGAATTTTCAAATTTAGTAAATAGTGTTCTGTGATGCTGTCGGATCGGGTAACATGAAGTGAAATATATCTACTACCGTAACAGCGAGAACTCGTATAAGCTGATAATAAAGATTTTTTAGTGGTGTCACATGATCAACTCACTCAATGTTTAAATTTCTTTCCATAACTTGTCGCTATCAAAAATACCAAATGTACAAATATGAAATGATATGAGTATAAACATTAACAAATATGAAATGTCAGTAAAGAAAGCAAAGTGCTTCAGAAATGTGAGTATTCTCCCACAAACGCAGAAAAGTTATTGTTACTCTCAGACGAGGAAAAGCTGATTACCAGAGGCAAAGAAAACGCGCTGCGAGGCTTATAATTTCTTTTTGAAACTTGCGGAGCAACGAGGAAGCAAATTCTAAAAGCGACATGAATGAGTGACAATGGAATTTTAAAAGGAATACTACAACAAACTGTTCTCTCACACTGACGCGTCTACTTGTAATTCATATTTTAAATTATTTCTCTGTATTTTACAGCCACGATGTTAGCTGTGAAACGTTTGTCGGAGGTAATTACAGAAGTTACAACGGCAAAATCAGCTTATGTAGTATTGTGCTGAACTGCTCCCGCACCCTCTCATTTTATTTGTAAGAAGCATACGAAATATTTAAGACGAAAGAAGTATTTAGATGAAAGAAAAAGATAGAATATATTTTTAAGCGGCTTGAAAATTGTAAGTCGCATCTCAGCTGTCCAATTATAGAAAACAGTAGATTCATTGCTGAAAAACTGTGGATCCCTGCTGTAAGCCACGGTGTAAGAAAATAATTGCATCAACTGTATATCTTTTCCTTCGATATTCTGTATAAAATTGTTGGGTTGTTCCTCGCTTCTCCGTGCGATATGCTGGTCTCAACCTGCGTATTTATGATGACGTCACGCGCATATAATATTTACCGTTTTGTATTTACATGTAAATTGTGCAAACTTTGTAGTAATTTAGTTCTAAAATTCCGCTTTAAACACTAAATTACTGCATAGTAATACTAACTAAAACAGCATTCATCATTGTTTTCATTATCATGGATAACAGGCTAATAACAACTTGCTGAGAAGGCGAAAAAGCAATCAATGGCTGTTACGTTGAATGACTTACATAAATTGCGGACGTTGGAAGTGGTTTCAGCAAGTGTGTCTGCAAATTAATTAAGGAAGGAAGGAAAGAGACTGGAAAAGTATTAATAATAATAGAGAATCATTTGCAGAGCATTCAGATAGCTACATTTATAGGGAACAAAAATTAGTTCTTTAATTGTTAAACCTGAAATGATAGAAACAGAAAAACGTCCATATTCCCGTGTTCATGTAATGAGCAAACCTTTGCCGTCAGGGCCAGGAAATATCAAACACCGGCTGTTGAATCGAAGGATGTATGGATTGCGTGCAGTTGAAGGGCTTCCAGAGGTGTTGTTAGCAAATGGATTGGTCGCCAGGGAATGGTTAGAGACAAAAAATACAACTAAATGAGAAACATTTGTGGACTATTTAGAAAGCTACATTATTGGGATCAGCAAATATTTAAGCCTCAATTGACGTCTTGGGAAAACAATCCCGTTCTTCTTCTACGTCACATGCAAACCACTGTTGTCTTGAGTGATTTTGAGAACCCCGGCATCAGTGTAGATGGAAAGAAAATGAGAAATATAATAATAATGATGATGATGATGATAATCATGATGATGATGATGATGATAATCATGATGATGATGATGATGATAATCATGATGATGATGATGATGATGATAATCATGATGATATCATCATTATCATGATGATATCATCATTATCATGATGATGATGATGATAATAGTAATAATAGTAATAAATGTTGGCCAATCAGATGGCGGAGATCGCTAAGGCAGTATTACCATAGCGGTCTCGGTCCAGAAGATCGCGGGTTCGAGTCTCACTTCGGGCGTTCATATATTTGTGTTTGTATGAGTGTGTCGTCCTCTCACCCCTCACTATCATCATTTCATCTTCCATAAAAAGAAAACTAACGAAAGGAAGTACTCTATCATTTAACTTTCATTATAATGAGTTTAAACAGTAGTAATAAAAATAACACATATCAATATTAATAATAATATCAATACTAATATTAATATAATTAATTTGATGATATTTGTATTACAAACAATACTAATATCAGCAAAAATACTAATACTAATGCGAGAAAAAATCTCTAATACTATTGTCAACAATAGTAACAGTACAGTTGTCAGCAATAGTAACAATACGACTAACAACATTAACTAGAAAAATACTGGTAGGGATGCGTGTCTGACCTCCGTGTCGGCGAGGCGCGTCAGCTCCGGCTTCAGGTAGTAGATGATGCCTGCCCCGGCGCCCGGCAGCATGAGGCCCCGCACCAGCAGGATGGACAGCACCACGTAGGGCATGGTGGCCGTCGCCCACACCACCTTGCCTGCGCCGGGCACACAAATCGCTCAGCGGGGGCCTGGCCGCGCCACGGCTCTCTCTGCGCTGTTTGTGGCTGCGGAAGGCGTTTTGGCGGCGGCGATGATGTAACGGTTAGCGTATCGGACTGTTATACCCAAGTTCGCGGCTTTAAGCCCGATCGAAGCCATGGACTTTTAAGAGCGAAAAACTTCCTTCGGAGGGGAAATAAAGCGGGCTGTCCCGTGTTAGTAGATTTGCTGCATGTAATAGATCCGCAAGCCTTAATGAAGCCTCTGAGCTAAATTCAAATCAGTATTTACTAGACTGTCCGGCTCATCCTAGTAAATACTGATTCCGGCCGCGAAAGCCTACGCTCTCAATAAATTCAAATCGCCTGTTCTGTCTCGATTTGTACCTCTAACAGGTATTTTGTGATGAATGATTCACAGAATGAGCCTGGAAAAACATATATGATGGTTGATAAAGTTGAAAAAAAATGGATATCATTTTATTTTAAAATTAGTTTTTTAATTTGTTGAATACTTATTTTACCTTTTAATACATTTCAGCAATTTGAACGATAGAATGTACCTGTTAATTTAACATTCAGCCATATTACTTTTAATTGAAGGTGTTTCCAGTAAGAAAGTACAAGACACGTTTTTAACTATCTGTAACAAGTGAGACATATTTTTTAATTTAATAAAAAATAAAAAAGTTGCGAAAGACGATACAGATTTGAAAAAAATATAGATATCCATTAAAAACAGGGTAGGTGTACGTGTTAAGACAAGAATAATGAGAAAGTGATACAAAAGTGAGATACGTCGCAAGTGAATAAAAGTTGTATAAAGAAACTTATAATAAACTATCAATATTCAATGTATTTATGTGAAGTAGAATAGTAAGAAAAATGTTTAACAGTGTTTACTATAAATTCATTAGTTTAATGAGTTATCCATGTGAGGTTCCGAAGGAGGCTGCTCGGGGACCAATTTTATAATGTAAGCCTCCTTGACCTGTGCAAGAGGCCCTGGGCCTAATAACGGGCTAATAATACCAATAATAATGCCAATAATAATAATATTAATAATAATAATTTTGATTATTATAGGTAATTTAAATTCTACACGGGAACACATGAATTGATCATTATTACCAAAATTTATCTGATTAATATTTCATGATTATCTACAACTTTCCCATTTCCTCACACTCTTTTACAGTTCTGATGTGGAGAAACATTGGAACAACACAACTTCCAGCCAGCATTCAACACGATCCCCAGAGGCCTGAGAACGATCACTTCTCTCCGCCTCCGTGCTCCCCTCCTCCCCCTCCCCCCATATTCCCTCCGCGGTCGGCAGCCTCTGTCAACAGGTGGGCGCGGGCGCTTGCGGTCTCGTTGGGTCGGAGATTGCGTTCTGCGACCCTTCAACCCCACTTGGCACGGACTGCTCCACCCAACATGTCGTTGCGAGCCTCCCTTCGCACGTAACGCTCAAATCGCCGTTCCGCGTGGCGGAAAGAGATGGGTGGGCTCCTCCGGTGCACCGACGTTTGCTTGTTCTCCGCAGCCCCAGTTCGCGAATTACGTGACAACAACACGGCCACTTTGTTTGAAAAGCCAAACCAGACGTTGGCTGCCATGTAACATAGAGAACGAAAAGTGCTGCGAGACAGTTTGAAAGTGGCATTAAGTCACAATTTTCAACCATGGCCATCAAAAATTACTCGATGAAGGTATATCTGAAATAAAACATGCAATATTTTTTACAAAAGTGCTTCATTCGTATTTGTTTCAATGACTCGTGACAAGGTGGAAATTTTGGCATTTAAACGTCTCATTAACATTGTAGCGCAAACTGGTACCTGAAGCTCATTGGCTGAAGTCTGATACGATGCGCAGGAGCCCACCTATCTCTAGCCATGTTCTACCCGTCAGTCGCGAATAGCTGTTTGTTAGTCACCACTTGACAATCGCTTTGAGTTTATTCCAACCTGCTACTCGTCGTCGCGAATTGCTGTTCGTTCGTCACGAAGTGCCACTTGCCAATAGCTTTGCGTTACTAGCCACGTGTTGCTCGTCAGTCGCAAATTGGTGTTTAGTTAGTTAATGCTTTATTTGTTTCTTCGATTTAAAGACAGCTTCATGCAAAGGTTAGGAGCTGAACGAAGAGAGGGACACTGTCATCTAACCGGGAGCTCTAATATTAAAAAATAGTCATAACGAAGCATCCGATTGGACTAAAGTGTCCCCCTCTCCGTTCAGTTCCTGACCTTGGCATGAAGGGGCGAGACTCGGGTCATCAGGCCCGTTCTTCCCTCTAACCACGCTATTTCGCTATGCGCCTTTCACCATCTGGCGGAGAAAGAAGGAATTACTCGGGCGACGAAACAGGCGATTATGAATTTAGCTCATAGGCTTCTTTTATGATTAAGGATCTTTTACTTGCTGTAAGTCTACTACATGGCGCAGCTGGCTTTACGTCCTCTCGGAAGGAAGGTGTACGAAATATAATTTCGCCCTTAAGTATCCACGGCTTCGGTCGGGTTTGAACCAAGGCAAGGTGAGGTACGAGAGGCCGATTCGCTAACAGTTATACCACCGAACCCGCTGTTAATTCGTCATGTTCCTCTTTTGGAAATTGCTTTGCGCAACAAGCCTCGTCCTGCTCGTCAGTCGAGAATTGCTGATTGTTCGTCGCTTGGCCAATCTTACGTGCCGATTGCCAGTTGCCAGTTCGTTATCGAGTCACCAGTTCAACTGATCAGACGATAAATTCTAATTGTCAGTGTTACAGCAGCTTCAAGTATTTTGTCCCTCAATTTCAGCAACGTAAAAAAATCGTATTTTTGTGAGAATAAGCATGGAACTTTTTCATTTGGCGCTTATTAATTAGTTGAACCCATTTTTCCTGCACGTAGACGACACTGTGAAGAGTTTGTCTTTTTCCAGTCCTATTGAGCACATGATTGACAGTCGGGAATTGATGGCACTTTTTTGTACGGTCTGTCATTTGTTTATTTTGAAAAGGATGGAACAAAGAATATGCATTAAAATTGAACGTTAAAAACAAAATAATGGGCAGTGAGTGCATTCAGTGATGGCATATAAAATGGATCACTCGAAGTTGTCTAAAATTAACGATGAGTGTTTTTTAAATTTTATTTTAAATAATGTGATATGATTTGTAAAATTAAATTGCATATGATAATAGATTTAAGTAAAGTATTTGACTCAATCGGTCTTTACCATAATCTTGTGATAACGTAATTACCTCGACGTAAGGCAAAACCAAATATTCAAAACGAATAGGAACTCTCTCACTTGAACGTAGATGTCAATAAAGAACTCTTGACACTTCTGGTGATAAAAGTATTACATATTTTACTGGTGATCAAAATATTATAAGATCATTTGCTCATGTAAACTAATTTTTTTTTACTTTTGACCTCAGGACAGAAAAACTGCTTTCTCGGCATCCATCACCAAGTCCGGATAACATAAAGTTCTTAATTATTTATTTATTTTCTGCTGTATGCTTCTTAAATATCAAATGCATTCTAGGTTAGCACATGCAGGGGGAGGCTGGTGGGCTACTTATGACGGGTAAAGTCACTCCGTTTCGACACCTTTCGTTGGCTCTCGCATTTGCTATTCTTTTGAATTTGAATTGAATTTGCCTTATTTTACGTGGCGTGACTCGGGCCATCAGGTCCGCTCTTCCGTCTGACCACGCAAATTTCGCTACGCTCCTTTCACCAACTAGGAGAGAGAGAGAAAGGAGGTATTTCTTGGGCGAGAAACAGGCGATTTGAATTTAGCTCAGAGGCGTCATTTAGGCTTGAGGATCTTTTACATGCAAGTAAATCTACTCTTTTCTTTCGTTTCTTCATGATCTTTTTTTTCTCAGCATTTGTCAAATTCCTTTGCTTGGGTTTTTTGGGAGTAACACTAGTTGTGCACGATATTTCAGGAAAAGTGTATTTTTTAAATATAGAACATGCAGAAATATTGCATGGAAAATGTTTATTTATTTCGCTGAGACATATGATCAATGTGGGAGAAGCAAATCTTGAAAGAAGAAAGGACACAGGCGGAGACATGAATGTATCTTAAAATTAATAAACCCATTCCGGAGATCCAATAAAGAGAAAGTTTGGTCAGATATAGATTCATCCTTTGTGATCAAGTGTCAAATGAATTCTTACCACTAAGTTATACGTTAGATCTATATCGGACACTATATTCACGGTTACTTTTGTTGGGTTTTAGGGAACTATTTAAAATAAAATTCAGAATTATTGATAAGGAATCTTCTGTTTATATTGTATTTCTTTGAATCTCTGTTATTTGAATTTTTAGCCGAGATAACACCGCCGTAATTTCCCATCTACCATTCTCATTAAATGAGAGCTTCAGGAGCTGTTGAATCCCTGAAGAAATGAAGATGACGTTTAAAGGACAAAGTAATGAGGCCGTAAAAGAGAGAGAGGAGGGGGAGAGGGGGAGAATCGCAAAGAGAGCTCTGAAAGCTACACCAAAGTGGGTAATCCACAAATTCTTTGAAGAGTGGAAACATTTGATTTTAAGAAGGCTTCTTTAAATCTTCTTCAATTTTAATGATGAATAAGTGAGACCATACAAAGTGTTTTGATTCAAATAAAAATTATCACTTTTTTCATCAGATTTTACCTCTCAGAAAAATTCACAATAATCTAAGCCATCGTAGAGTTTCTGATACATCTTGTAACTAATGTATATACACGTATGGCATTCTATTTGACAATATAGTAACGTATTCGAAGAGATAATGGAATGTAAGTTGTTTATCAAAGATAATATAAGTATATACAAAAAAATTGATAACTTCTTCCACTAAGCGACGTTGAAGTGAAAGGACAATTTATTAGAGAATTAAGAATATTTGTAAAATATTTAACTATTATAATCTTGAGGAAAAGCATTAGAGAAAATGTTCGTGAATATCATCGTAAACATTGAATATATCTTGTACTGAATAGTCTTAATTAAAGTTAAAATAAAATTAGCATTTCAATATGTTAATATTTAATATTTTTGTCTGAAAACGTTGAAGTTGAATAATCAATGCATACTTTTGGTTGTACAAGAGTCCGTAAGTACAAGAATAACAAAACTGTCCAAATTTAAGGAGCACCATTTAATCTCTAACTCCAAAACCCTATGAAATTTTGACAGGCACAGAAAATTCGTTGAAAGATCAGCTTTAAGAACAGGCGTGAAAGCTAAAATCCCGCGAAACAAGGGTGCAATATTGTGTGGAATTTCACCAATTGGGCGGGAAAAAAATTGCAGTCCATTGGGCGGAATGAACATGCATTTTCCGGATTTCAGCCCATGGGCGAAATTTGCCGTCTTTTGGATGGAATGTAGATTGTTTTTCTCCTCACTTGTCATGGGGTCATTTTGGTCACCTAGAGCGGCTCGTGCTGCATGATGCAGAGGATCATTTTATCAATATCCGTGAAACTGCGAAACTCCCGCCGAACTTCCGTGCACTCACGAGCAACAGGCGAAGCAAGTAAATTCAATTCAAGTCAGCCTTATTTTACGTGGCGATCAAGCAATGAAGCGTGATCAGGCCATCAGGTCTCTTCTTCTGTCTGATAATACATATTTCGCTGCGCTCCTTTTACCACCTAGCGGACAAAGAAGGTATCATTTGGACGGCGAAACAAGCTATTTCAATTTTGCCCAGAGACTTCTTTTAGGCTCGATCTTTTACGTACTGTAAATCTGCAAAATGGAAAGGACGACTTTACTTCCCCTCCGAAGGAAGGCGTGCGAGGGATTTTTCGACCTGGTCGCAAGTGGTGGATCAGTTTGCTCTCTGTTGGAAATAACAATTGTGTCGATAGGTCAGCCCGAAATAGCGTCATTTTTGTGATTCGCGATTAACGTTGATCATGGAGATTCCCTTCGAATCTGTTGACTTTTTTTCCATTAACTTAATCATTGGGCGAATTTTTTGTCCTGTTGTGTCAGATTTTCGTGCAGGGATCTGGCAATCCTGCCACAATACGCTGCACCGTGGTGCGATGAAAATTAAGTTTTACTTGTTGAGGTTATTTGTTGAAACTGAGCATAATGGGAAGCGCATGTTGATTGACTACAATAATTGAAGTCTGTTATTAGGCATGTTATTGTTGTATTGTTTTATTTCCATTTTACCACAACCTAAAGTGTTACAGGAAGTCTTCTAAACCCGCCATAATTATGATTCTGTGAACAGTTTAACATAATGTGCCAATGAACACCTTTTAAAGTAGTTTAATCAAAACACGAAGGTAATAGTAATTATGTATAATAGGTTATATCCTATACCAATTATTGATTTTATAAATGAAACCATTGTTTATTTATTATTTTTAATATATGCATATCGGCCACTTATGACTACACTTTATCTTCCGAGGCCTAGTCATATGTATTCCAGAGAGATTGTGTGTCACTATGGGGATCAGATTTTCGGCTGTACCCCTTGGCGAGACATGGTTGTTACGCATTGAATTATAAATTCGTTCTAGCGTACCGGAGGAAGGAGTTGATAGAAAAGGAAATGCTCTCACAGCAATTGTGTGATTAAATTTAGGGATGTAATCACAAATAATACAGATTGAACACTACGAACTTTTACTGAAATTTAGAGAAATTATATTTTGTGACTATGAAATTTATGTGCAGAGAAGGATTGGGAAAAACTTGTTCAAATCAATAAAATGTTAATAAATACCACTAATTATTTCAAGAAGGTTTTGAAAGAGCTAAGATTGCGTATGCATTTTTGAATTATTCCCAAAAATCTAGGAAGGGAGGGAATCTCGTCAGCACACAAGCGACCCAAGGTGTAATTAATAATAAATCATAATAAACCCAAGGTGTATTATGATGTGAAGTGAACAATTCTCTAAGTTTTTATTGAGTTCACTGAAATAATATTTTACTGGTACAAGAGGTTGCTGTCCGTGGTGTATGGTTCACTATGAAGCTATGAAACATTTTCAACATGGTGTATGTCCACTATGAACCTATGAACAATTTTCCTACCATTGGTTTTTCTTTCAAAATTCGGAAATATGTTACATGCAATTCAGATTAAGGTCTGTTACTGAAATTGTTTCTTGTATAATATGTTGTGAAAACAAGTGAATAAAATCTACGTTATTTGTAGTTTCAATTGATTAAAATATTGAAAGTTTTCCTTCAGTTGATAGTTTCCCTTCAAAACTTCACTATGGTCCTTCATAAATTCAAAAGCTCTTTGAGAACATTTAGTATCCCTAATTATCAGTATTTATTAGCATTTTTATGTCAAAGTCAGTATTTATTAATTTCTGTTCTGTAGAGGCATTTAATCAAAGTAAAATAATGGAGGATGTAATGACGTTTTTCACTCAGATCTGCTTTAGACGCACTTGGTAGACGATCTATTAACTTATTAAACATGAACAAAAATGCGTTTTCAATCATTTTAATAGGTATGGTATTATTTAGTTTTCTGAAATGAAAACTAGTTTAAAAGCGACCTCAAGCTAAAAAAAAACTTTCGTAAATTTATTGTTAGTAAATATACGAGTAAACGATTAAATATATTTTTTTCCAAAACACCCTGGCTCAAATCCTCTCAGAACGAAACGCTTCGGTCGATTTGCGGCTCATGAAAATAACAAGGCGATGCCTTGCGCGGCTGAAAGGAAGCAATGGCGGAAGGGCAATTGCGGTGGCGTGGTTGTGCGCGCGGCCGCGCGGCGGGGTGGCGCTCTCGGAGGCAATCTCCCCCTCCCGTGCCCCGCACCGTGCCCTGCCCCCCCTCGGGCACAGGCCCAATGCGCCGAAAGAGGCGCCATTCGAGCCCCAAAAAGCCGAGCCTCACTTTCCGTTTAATCACGTGTTTGATACCGCCGAAACCACTTAGGGGCGTCGTTATCTGTGGCCCCCCCCGCGCCGTCCGCGGCCCCTGAGCGCTCTTCACATTCCCCGGGAAGCTAACGATATTGAGTGAAATCCCGTAAAACGCTGAAAAGCCTTTCACGGGCGCCGTGGCGCGCGGGCGGGTGGGCCCGGGGATCGGAGAAGGCGTGGGAGGGGGGAGGGGAGGGGAAGGGCGGCGCGGCCTGCCGGTGTTGCGCGTCACCCGCACAGGTCGCAAACCTCGCACACTGAGGCCGGCACGAGGCTGTGCGCTGCTCAGGACTAGCAGGACGGGAAGGAGCATTGGGTGACTAGAAACAAGGGAAATACGGGTAGCTGAGAGATCGTCGGGTTTGGCGACGCCCGATTCATTTTCGGAAGATTTTTATTCATATACAGCGAAAATTATAAACATATTATCGTCCCCTCCCTACCTGATTACTTCTGGAGGTAAAATATTATCCTTCAAAACTATTCCTACAGTGTTCTTTAAGTATGTGTTTTCAACTTTTCACGTAAGATTTTTCTTGAACGCCGAAAATAATGAAGATTGACGTGGATGTCACAAGTATTGTAACCTGAATCACACTTTGTGGTGGAAAATTCATTAAACTATACAATTTTAAATGATGTATAGTTGTATGATCTAAAGGGAAATTCACATATTTTAAATTCGCAAACGATCGTTAATAAAAATTCTTTCTCCATCCAAACAGTAATTTTTTAAATCAAATTCTACTTGATTAAAAGGCACAGCGCTATATATATATATATTTTGTTTATTTCACAAGAATGTAACTTCCTTCCTCTAGGAGGAGAATTGCTCGAGAAATCTATGTTACCAGTAAAAGCTTAGGCTTCCGCGGTCGGAATTAGTATCTACTTTGATGTTCGAGCCCCTCATCCTATACACAGATGCCAACGTCTCGCCCGTCATGCTGTGACCTTCCTCAGGGCAAAATGCTGTCGAAGGTTGCAGTATGACGGGTGAAACGGTGGCAGTTGTGCTACAAACACGGCATCTCCCGGACAGCCAAGTAGATGCTGTGGTATCAATGTCACATAGCGGCGAGCCTCAGTGGTAATATCTTCTTTCGCGTTGAGCTCCCACTGCAACGATTGATAGGAGCGGGCGATCAGTGTTGGAGGGGCGGCACTCACCTGAGGACTTGACGCCCTTGAAGAGCGAGAGGTAGAGCATGGAGTAGACGAGCAGCAGGCAGAGCACCAGCTGCCAGCGCGGGACGCCCATCGCGTGCAGCCCGTCGCTGTACTGCATTTGGAGCACCGCGCGGCTGCAACATCCCACACACTTGGACTCTCGCCTTGCAGTTGCATCTGTTATTTGCAGAATTTTTGTCTGCTGCTGGTATGAATGCGTTTAGGAATGATTGGTACAGATGTAAATAAAAATGTGTGTGACAATCGTTTTCGCAGGTTATATGACGTTTTGATTCCGTAATTTCTTAACTTTCTGCAGATGTTCTGTGAAAAAGAAATGCCGCGACATGTTATAAAGTATGTCGGCAAGCTTAGTGGGTCTATTTAGTAGAATTTTTATCTCACATTATAATATGTCATATTTCTGAAAGAATTAAGTTGTGTGAATTAACTCGTGCATGCACTTTTTTCGACAACGGATATCGAAAGTAGTTTCCAAATAATAGAGTCGGAACGTCATTCAACATATAAAAGCATTTTGGTTACATACACAATACATTTTTACTTGTGTCTGCATCAGTTGGTCTCAAAAGCATTCAAAATTACTTCAATCGCCTACCCCTCAGCCCAGTTCTTAATCTGGCTTGACGTGCGCGTACTCGCGGTACTATCCGAAGACGGGAATCAGAGCATCTTTCTATACAAAGGATGGTAATGTGGAAGGCATGAAGAAGGAAGGATCACTCGGAGTTAGTGGCCTGTTGACTAGGATACTACTCCGACATCCGCCTGGAATAGATCGGGGGAAACCACAGACACAACCAATCAGAGCAGTCGGCTTCTAGAAAGCTCCTTCAGGCAGCGCCCGTCTTCAAACGCTTCTGATGTAGTAGGGGAATGCCCAATCCACGGGCAATTACACCCGCGATTTTCGAAATCCCGCCGATTCAAAAATTATATAAATAAGGCGAAGCCAAGTGGAGGAAGGAACAAACACTAGTATCCAGGTTGTGTCCATACTTCCAATATTATTTTGTGCATGATGCCACCGTATTGAAAAGTAGCTTTTTTGATGTGACTTCGCAGCTGTACTTTAGAATCAGTAATTTCATTTAGTATTTCTCTATGGGGAAATAATTCAATATATTAGTGTAACGGGCGTTGGTATGTACTTTGGAATTGAGTTAAATGAGACTGCTCTTGGGTTACTAGGAAATGAAAAGGGAAAGAGTAGTTCATGTTGAGGTAATTTCGCCAAGGTGTGTGTATACTCTTGCTTTAATTTTTGTACTGATAATTTTTAACTTGTGACGCTCCCTTCATCCTTTGTGATTACAAATATGTCTTTATGTATCTCAGGGAAAGTAAAATATGAAATGATGATAACTATACGAGATCGCCACCGAGCTCATGCGTTAGCAATGACGGCCGCCATTGGCACCAGATTCGAACATCAACTAATGTCACCGCAGTGCCTCTTACCGGGAGGTCCCAAGGCTTCGGTAGCAATTTGTTCGACATTAGCTAGATAACTAAGCAACCTCTATCTGGAAGAAAATTGTAGCGGCAGGGTGCTCTGCTCGGTTGTTTTCCAACGTTCCTCCGATCAACATTCGACGAATGCAGGAGCAGTACTCTTAACAAACTAGTTACGGACCTTCCTTTCGCACGATCTTCCCTTTCGCCTCCTTGCCCTTTTCTCACCCCTTACACATACATACACTCGCATGCACTACACTACTACGAATGTTGGGTGACCAGTATAGAGATACGATTCTGCCAGGGGGGCGGTTACCCGCTGCTGAGAGATTCATGCTTGGGGTAAGCCCTGCTAGCCGACTTGTAAGACAGCTTCGGACCTTTCCATCGAGATGGAGAAGCCCACCGACACCTCCCACGACAAAAACATGCCCTACACTTACAGAACTAATGGCGTTAGCTCTTGACGCGCCCTGACTCGCTAATCGATAAATGAATCAACCGTCGGGGGCGGCGAGGCTGCTCACTTGAAATACTCCCCGGCGGGCGAGCGCTGCTGGTTGGGCAGCGCGGTGGAGATGACGTCGCTGACGTTGACCGCGTCCGAGGCGTTGGGCGTGCCCTCCTGGCACAGCTCGGAGTTCCACGTGTTGTTGCAGTGCAGCCAGGGCAGCTCGGGCGTCGCCGACGCCACCAGGAAGTACAGCGCCCAGCCGATGATCACGTTGTAGTAGAAGCTCACGTAGAAGGCCACCAGCACCGCGCAGAACCCCACACCTGCAACCCGTCAGAAGTAGTGCTAGGGTAACCAGAGCTACATCGTCTCGGAAGGTTATTTTCCTCTTACAACGAATGTGTCGATCAGAAATTTCTGTCTATTTTTTGAGCCTCTCGCATTATGAACTAAACTCAATCAGGTTTAGATAATTATACGAGATAGGAAAAAAAGGGAGTCATTCAAATTTCGCGGTCAAAAAACCAACCGTACGTCACTAAGAGGCTCAGATTGAAAAGACGGAATTACTTATTCCAAGTACTAGTCATTAGGATACCTATACATGGTTTAGGACTGTAACGGAAACATACGCTTGTCTTTTTGGAGGTCATACCCACATCAGTGTTCGCCTTCGCAGCCGTATACATGCCCAAGTCCACAACCGCACCAAACTCACGCCCTGGTCCACATCACGCCCTCACGCACGTCCAAAACCACGCTGACATTAATGTCCGCGACTAAGCCTATGTTCACGTTCGCGGCTACACGTACTATCAAAACGGGTGCTAACGACCAGGCTTACGTCTTGCCTGGTGCCTTGATTTACGTCTCAACAGCTGACGTCGTGACTTACGATCACATCTCGCCTTGGAACCACAAAACAAGGCCGTCGCTCCAATCTCGCCCGCGGGAGGCTAAAGAGGAAGAGCTGATTACATGTTTATAGGAAATTTTTTAAATCATCATAAGACTTCATAAGTGAAATTTTAGGATTTGTTCCCAGATTAAAGAACTTAGTTCCCAATTTGAAGAAAATAATGATTATAGCAAACCATTAAAACTAAAATCTCTCATTTTTCACGCGGCCTAATCATTTCGCATCGTCTTCGGCATTCTGCGACCGTTTTGAAGTATTTTTGCCGTGTCTACAGAAGCTGGTTTTATATTCAACTCCCCCCTATTGTTTTCTCTACCTTGCTTACTCAGACTTTCTCTTTCTGCACTCTTTATACCGCTCTCTCTCCCTCCCTCCCTCTCTCACTGGCAATTTTTCTTTTCGGTAGAAATCAATATATTCCTTTTTTATACACAAATCAAAGCGTTGAAAATACTTCCATTCTCAAGAAGCCAAGAAAATAAGATCGGAAAATCTTCATTGTTACGATGTTCTTCCATCACAGATCTTTCCCTAAATTTCTTCATGCGTTTGTCTGCGCTGTGTCTGGAACACTATTTCCTTATCCCAAAATTACTTCATTATTCTCCCCTTTCTGATTCACCCACCTGCTTTCTTCTTACTTTTCCAAGTTTAATTAGAACGTCTTCATTTCTTCAATCAAATCCTTACTTTCGATCTCATTTTAGTAGTTTCTGCTCCCGATTAATTTATGTAATTCTTCAATCTACATCTGATATTCACATACTATTCGTATACACGTTCTGCAGATTTTTCTCCAAATATAGAATCTGAACAACTTTCCAGGCAGACTTGTCCAATATACTTCTCATGGCACAGTACAAAATGTGATACACGTCGGAAAATATCCTTGCTGATGACTATTGTCATTATCTTGTGGAAATTCTTCAAGTTTTTTTACGATGATCTTGATTTCTATTATAATTCATTTTTTGTGTTGCCACATCATGCTTTAGGGTGAAAGCTACTACCAGAACCAATTTAACGTCGAGATTCCCCGAAGCAAAGTCGAATAATGCAAAGGAAATTAAGAGTTAAAAAAGCAAAGAAAATAAACAACTGTTCCGATTAAGCAATGCGCGTTTAACTGGAATCTACAAAACTTATTAGAGGAGTTAGGAAGAAGAACATGCTCCGCTTGTTTTGTCCTTTATTTCTCAGCCTCGAGGGACAGGTCTCCTGTTTCCTCCACCGCCTTCTTCCCTGCCACTCGCCCTTCCCCCTTGCTCCTCCGTCCCCCCTCCTGCCCCCCTCC